TTTTTTTTTTTTTTTTTTTTTTTTTTTTTTTTCCTTTTAGCACTGCTCTGCATGCCTGTTGCTTGTAATTGAATGTCAGGGTGCCAGGGGAGAAGCCCATTTGAGGCTGGCACCAGCTCTTTTGCGGTTGTCTGCATAAACTCTTGGTTGGCAGCGAGCTTGCCGGGTGTGAGATAAATCGGGCTGGGAGAAGGAGGGGAGGTGGGGAGAATCGGAAACGGGGGGTGCTCGGGGAGGAGCAGCTCCTGGCTCCCCGAGGATTAGTGGGTCTGGAGTGTTGGCTGGAGCACGGTGGTGTCTGTGGTCACGTCCCTTGGTCGCAGCAGGCAGGAGGGGCACGGAGGGGCACGGTGGTGAGGGAGGCAAAGATGGGTGGATTTCTGCAGACCAATATCGGGTCTTTTTTTTTTTTTTTTGGTGGCCAAAAGAGCAGTTCATGTAGAATTACTGTGCTTCATTTTCTCGGGACTAAAAGAACCCCCCAACTTGGTTCGGACACACGGGGTACTGTTGTGGGGTCTCATCCTGCTCACTGCTCCTTCAGAGGCTGGACTGTTGTTTGTCCCCTCTGCAAGCTCTAAGAAAGACTACTAGGTCTGTTTATGCCTTGTGGAAATCAGCAAAGCTGTTTAACAGACAGCTTTGGGTTGCAAAGCATGAAATACTTTGCCTCTGAGTGAAAAAGGGGGAGATAAAGACTCATGAATGAAAGAGGGGTATCAGGAGTAGGTTCAACATCCCGAGCACGTGCTGGGATGCAGAAGGGTTGTTCCGTAACGGACTCCCAGGGTCTGCTGGGTTGCAAAGTTTTGTGGGTTTGGGTGAGATTGGCATCCTTATGACTGCATCCCTGCTGGGGAATGTTCCCCCAAAAGTTTATATTTCTGCCTTTATTGCCCTTCTTGCTAGCCAGTGGTGATCCTGGCATGGGATTCGAAGGGGTTCAGAGCTGCAGGAGAGAAGGATTAAAGCTTGCCTTGGGTTTCCTGGTAAAGATGTTAGGATAAATCTATTAGCATGGTTTAAACATCCAATCTGCCTCTGCCAGGACCTCATTTTCAGTTAGCCCAGTGATACATTTATTCATTAGCAAGTGTTGACACAAGGTAGCAAAATGTGTGTAAACAGAAAAGCCGCAGAACGTGAATGTGCCATTTCGAAAGGAAAAGTTATTCCTATCGGCCAATAGGAAGTGATTAACGCTGCCCATCGGAAACCCAGAAACAACTGGGTTACTCACCAAAAAGTCCTCCCTTTTTTTCCTTTTTAAAAGAAAAATCCATTTGGCAGCTGAACTCTGACTAACAGGGCTGCGGCAGGCACCAGCGGAGCCTGGAAGTCTGTTGTTGCAGGTGGGTTTTGCAAGCTCAGGGTTTCTTGGCGTTTCCTCTGCGGAGCGACCGAGGGTTTCCCATCCCAGCTTTGGTGCCATCTCCTGCGGCAGTTTCCCAGCGGGATGTTGAGGGTTGCGTGCCAGGGGCTCGCTAGATGGAAGAGGGGCAGTAGGTGATGATGGGAAGGTGTGAAGCCTGGCTTTACCTGGCTGAGACGCAGGAGCCACCTTCTCGCCTGGGACCTTGGGTGGGAACGGTCCCTCCATTTACATTTGGGCAACTGCATCTGCCAGTGGAGCTGGGAACGTGCATCCAGCAGGAGACTTCTGCTTTTTTAGCAAGTGTGATAGTGGTCATAAAATTATTCAAGCATTTAGTGCTACAACTTGTAAGTGCTTCGTATGGACCAACAGACAGGAATACCTGGACCAGCATGGGGTCTGGCAGTGGTTGCCAGTGCCCGTGATTGTAGAATCACAGACTAGTTTGGTTGGAAGGGACCTCTAAAGGCCATCTAGTCCAACCCCTGCCATGGGCAGGGACATCTTCACTAGGTCAGGTTGCTCAGAGCCCCGTCCAACCTGGCCTGGAATGTTTCCAGGGATGGGGCATCCACCACCTCTCTGGGCAACCTCTGCCAGGGCCTCACCACACTCATCATAAACAATTTCTTCCTTCTATCTAGTCTGAATCTCCCTTCTTTTGGTTTAAAACCATAATGATGGGGATTGCATTTTCTTTTTTTGGAGGTGACGGAGGTTGGGACAGGCTGTGTTGCTGGCTGGACGAGTACAGGGATGGACAGGGAGCTGGCAGGTCTGCTGTGGGTTTTGAAATGTCACATCAGTCTGTGTGTTGATAGATCTAGTGTTTGTGTACTGGCTGTAGAGTGGAAAGATCTGCCCCTGACAGCTGGATTACCCGTGGGAAGGCTGTAGGTGCAGGCTGGCTTGCTTGTTCATCAAGGAGAGGACTTTCCTTCCCCGTTACATGGGACAGTTGCAGGGATGGGTGATGGTGGCTTGCATGGGTCAGGCTCACCCTGCAGTCCTGGAGGCATGTGAGAGCTCAGCAGATTCCCTGCAGGAGCTGCCACCTGTGGCTGTGTTGGAAATGAGATGGACAGCGGTGCCCCCAATTTATTCAGGCAGATACTTTGACCCATCATTAAGTGGGACAGGGGGCTGCAAGGGGCTGTGTCTGTCGTGCTCCTGTGCAGCTGGTCTTGGTGGTGCTGGAGTATGAGAGCGCAGGAAACCCACTGAGATGTCACTACAGAGTTGAATGCCCTTCTGTGGCATCGATTTTCAGGGGCATTGGAAGTTTGGCAGCTTCCAGGAAGTATTCGGCACCTCGCGAAGTTGGGCTGGTGGCCACCAGGAATAATTGTGTGTCTCTGCGATGGTTTTATATTGCAGGAAGGCAGTTTTGGGAGGAGATTCACATGAGTTGCCTTGATCCTACCTCTGATCCTATGACTGAAATACAACAATGGCTGAACTATGACTGAAAGTAAAACAAGCCCGAGTACCCTCTGCTAGCGAGGGCCCTTGGCAGATCTGTGGGTGATAGGAAGAGCACAAGGATGAAACCAGCCACGTGTAGGGCAGAGAGCCCAGGAGGGTCCTGCCGTTGGGCTTACCCCACACCTGACCATCATGCTTCGTCTAGAGTTGAAGGTGCATCAGGTCTGTGTCCTCTGAAGAGTCTTCAGAGGGTAATTAATTGATGAAGGGAACCAGCTGTTGGATGATGGGACACGGGAAGGGAGCCGACAGCTGTGAAGAAGTCCTGGAAGCACATCACCTCATTGCTAGGGTTCTGCATTTTAAGTTGGGATAGGGTTCTTTCCTGCCATCCTGTCTGATGTGCTGAAGACCTGGTCATGTGTGATCCCTGGAGCAAGACAACAAGGAAAGGGCAAATTAGCCCTTTTCCACACAGGAACTCATCAGGGAGCTGTAACTGGGGGCAGATGGGGCCCAGTGTAGGGCAGGGTGGTCCAGTCTTGATTCCAGAAAGTGTCTGTAGCCCAAGCAGTTCAAGCCAACTCGGGGGAGGGGTAGGGAGAATCTTCTGTTTGGACTAGAAAGGGTTAAAAAAAGAGAAAAAACCATATTTCTTTAAAACATAGAAAGCAAGACCAGACATTTAGGGAGAGTATCGTATACAGTATTTCACAAGTAAGTCCATTTCCTGTCTCCCCTATTGTTTTCGGTTTGATTAAGTATATCCTGTTAAACTGTATATTCCTGTTAGGGCTTCTACTTTGCTCTGATAAAATGAGGTTATGCATTTCTGTTTCATTGGGATTTCAGGGATAAAATCTCAAAAAATGGCTATCAGTAGGGAGAAAATTAGCTCTCCTGATGGTGGCCTTAGCTTTGAGATCCAGCCGTGAGCGAAATGATGTCATTAGGGAGCCCAAATTGGATGAAACCCAAAGTCCCCGAGAACCTGCTGAGGACCAGAAGGTTGCATGAACTTCATGGGTCTTCTCAGACTTGTCCTTGAGCTTGTCTCCCCCATGATAGTGACTGAAAAGCTGGAGTTTGACTGTAGGATCAGAGGATTGGTGTTGGCTTCTGGTGGCTGTTCACCTGGAGCAGCAGGCTTAGGGTGGAAAGGTCCAAACCTTGAGCTCCAGTACCTCTATGCAACCTCTCATGGGGCAGCTGATCTTTCCCTGCCCTTGCCCTTTGGTGGGGCATGCAGGAGTGGATCCAGTTGCCCACCTGGCCCAGGAGGTGACAGCCGGGTTTAAGACCTGCAAGCAGCTGGCGGTGACAAAAATTGAGCAGGGGAACACAAATGTAGACCGTTTGCCACAAAAGAGCGGCGATGAGACATTTCCCTTTCGGTTCTCATTTTGGTAACTTACAGGTGTCGACTAAATTGGGTGCGTGAAGCCATGATTTAAGCATTTTTGGGAGCTCGCTTACATCAGAACGATGACAACCTTGATCTCGTTACCCGATGACTTGGCCGGAGAGGTGGCAGCCAGTCTGTAATTTTTGCTGGTCTATAATCAGCATTGGCTGCTTATGAAGCACAGCATGCAGCCTTGGTGGAGGCGATGAGCTAGGGTGGATGCTTCTTGATGAACTACTGCCTCTGCGCAGACAATTAGTAATCGCTTCCTGCTAAACCCTTTGGAATGTGTGTTCTGCTTGCGGCGATGCTGGGAGCCTGCGAAGAACCACCTATATACTGATTTTTTTTTTTTTTCTTCTCTCCAGCAGATTGTCCAGACTCTGTGCCTTCCTCCACTGAAACAGGGGGAACTAATTGTCTAGCCCCTGGGGGGCTTTCAGGTAAGACATCTCTTGTTGCCTTTGATTTTGGCCGTGAAGTTGTGTTGACCGAGGGTCCCGATGGAAGGCGAAGCGATGTTGGGGAGTTTTGGGGATGCACATTGTTGAGAAAGGTGTGCTCGAAGGGGGAATTAGGTTTCTTTTCAGTAGCAGCCATGTACCTCTTGCACAGAGGATGCGTTGAAATCCCACTGAGCTTCTCCAACCCCCAAAGCCTGTATTTCCTTTGAATTCCAGCCTTGCGCTCCATTACTTTTCGGAGCGAGGCAGGAGGAGGTGTGCTGGGGAAGGCTAAGGGATGTTGGCCACCCGTTAGTTTGGACGCATGGATTATCGGAGCAGGTGTGGGTGTGCCTTGCAGAAGGATTCGGTGTCAAGCTCTCCTTGACTTGATGGTGGTGCTGACACCTCTTCTCTCTTGGACGAGAGCCGTGCTTGAGCTTTGCTCCTGGTAGGGTAACCAGCACCCTGCATCTCATGCATGAGGCTTGTGATGCCTGGTGAGGAAAGGTGACCGCTTTTTTTGCAAAGGGTGTTGAAGAGGAAGTCAGACTCGATCCTTGTGAGTCTCTTCCAACTTGGGATACTCTATGATTTCCCTTGTTTTTCCATTTGCCATCTCCTTCAGCCTCCAGGTGCCGTAGCGGGATGGGGGTTTGGAGGGTTGTTTTCCCCACCCCTCTTGGGCTTTTCATAGAATCCTAGAATGATTTGGGTTGGAAGGGGCCTTTAAAGCTCACCTAGTCCAAGTCCCAACACCTATTCCAAGGTGTGATGTCTCCAGCACCTCATCTCCCACCCTGGACCAGCCAACTCTGTGGCTGGGCTTTGTCTCTACCAGGATTAAAGTGTCTGAAACCACGTACCTGCATGTACCTGCTGATGTTTGAAGGTGCTTCCCTTTGTGGGCATGTCTGCCTGATTTATGATTTATTCATTGCTCTGAAACTGGAATTTCAGAAATAGGTCGGTGGCGGCCACACGCGTGCGTGCATCTGCCCCCACCTCTCTCCAGGAATTGCGTTTGGTGTGGATGTCTTTAAGTGAGCCTTGTTTGTTTTCCTTTGGGTGTAATATATACCCTGTCTGTTATTTGAGAGGGGAGCATATTGTTTGTTCAAAGGCCCTAATGAGAATTAATCAAACGGAGAGGGAACAGAGAAACTTGTTGCTGGGTTTTTGTTGTTTTTTTTTTTTCAAATACAGAAGACTTTTGGGTTTTTCTTTATTTTTTTGCTGTTGGAGCCTATAGCTTTAGGGAAGGAAACAAAAAGACTGTAATAAGAAAAAAGACAAGAAGCAAAACAACACAATAAGGATGTTGTTAGAATTATTTTTTTTTCCTTTTTCCTCCTGAAATACACCCGTTGCAGAGGGGAGGAGAGAGTTCAGTTCCACAGGATACCACATGAAATAAGCAGAGGAAGTACTCGCTTTTAAAAGGGGGCTTTCTGTAAGGTTCAGCCTATTGATAACATCTCGTCTGGCTGCTCCGCTCCCGAAGGGAAGGCGGGAGGTGGGGGCTTGGGCTGCAGGAAATAACACGGCTCATTCCCGGTGCCTCCCGAAGGGCCATGGGAAGGGGAGCCCCAGCTCCTTCATAGAGCCCCCTCCCCGAAAGAAAGCATGTTCCCCCCTGAAAATGCTTTTTTTGAAACTTATTTTACTCTACTATTTCATAGGATTTTTTTTTTGGTCTTCCTTATCAAAGGTTCCCCCCCCACCCTCCAAGCCTAGAAACAGAACCTTTTACAATCATTAACTGCTCTTTTTTTCCTACCCAAATGTAATTGTAGCCATTTAGTTTAATGAGGAGCTGATAGGAGAGTTGACTCATGAAGGGATACGGTTAGCTACCCAAGCCCTGAAACAAAGCCGAATGCCTCCACATGAAAGAGCATTTGTTTTGAATTTGCTCTGATTTACTGGCATCTCCCTTCCGTGCGCAGAAGTGCAGCACTGAAAATTCCCAACTGGAGAGACCCAGTCGAGAAAGGAAAATAAACGCACTTCACAACAATCTTCCAAAGCTCACTTTCTCCTTCTTTTTTCTAACCCCCCTGCATATTTTAGTTAGCAGAAGAGTGTATTTGAAGTGGGCTTTAAGGAGTTATTGGCAGGGTACATGGGGAGTGCTTTGGCTTGGTCTTATCTAAGTTTGGGCAGGTGGAGATGAGTGATGCCGGGTGGAGAACACGGCATCCTTCATCCCCTCCAGAGCAGGGCTGTACACTTTGGATAGGTGGCTCCTTGATGAAAGGATGGCTTTAAGAAAAGAAAAAAAACCCCTCAGTTTTGGAAGATTTGGAAGCTGGAGTAGGTGGCTGTAGAAGACACTGTGGGGGGATGGTGTGTTGCTGTAGCATCATGGCCACCTAGCACTGTAGCCTTTGGCCACCAGTGTTGGGCAGTTGATGCTGGTGTAGTAGCGGTGTTCAAAGCCGGTAGACCTGCCCTAATGTCTGGAAGCTGGAAGGGTAGGATTTAGTGAAGCAGATCGCTCTTGGCACTGAGAATTTGGGAACGAGGCCAGCTTGGGGTTCACAGCTACCCTGGCAGGAAAACCACATGGTGGGGTTGAGAGGGTGATGGCAGAAGGAGCATTAAAAAGGGCAAGAAAGCGAGTGCCCTTGCAGCTCTCCATGAGGATCCTTTGATGAGGAGGAGTGTCATGTCTGGTCACCTCTGGGGTTGCAAATCTACTTCTGGAGGCTGAAGGCAATTTCACTGATGGATACCAGAGGCACTGGAGGATGTGGGAGGGGGAGCAGCAAGGCCAGGGGAATGTACGGGGAATGTTTTCTCCTTGCGATAACTGATCTGAGCTGCTCTTTCCCGCCTTCTTTCTGTTCTCCCTCCTGGCCCAGGAGTGCAATATTTAGTCCTTCATGCTGTGCTGGTGTCCTCTTCTCATCTCACCTCTGCTGTCTCTTCCTCAGACATCCTTTTCTCCAACTGATGCACCCCTCATTCCCCCTGAGATCCTGGCTCTTGCTTCCATATTCTTGCCTTTGTTTATTTTCTTATATCTTTATTTTTATCGGTGGTCACTCTGTGGGTAGGTAGGGACTGCTTGCTCACAGTGTCTACCACCAAGATGGTTGTGCTCAGGTGTTACCAGTCCAGACCCTTTCTATACTCAACATGGTTAAAGGCAAAAATTTCCCACTGGACATAAAAATAATTTATGTAAAAAGGAGACAGGGGGTGTTTTTTCCTGTATTTTGAGCTGACTTGTTCTCAGCAGATGTGTTTGGTTATGACTCTTTTTTCAAACAAGCAAAGCCATGCTTGCAGGGCCCGATGGTGGTCAGCTCGTGGTCTGGTGGCATCTGATCGGTGGGGGCCATATTCCTGTGTGACCCACGAAGGAGCTCTGCTCCTTGGGTAGGAGACAGCTGGTGGTGCTTGATGATGGTGGTGCTGGGTCTCTCCCCACCCAGCCCTGGACATCTCCCATTGACCCGTGTGTGACACGGGGCTAATGGCTCTTGGCTGATGGAAGGTTGTGGTGCAAGAAGGTGACTCTCCTGCAGGAGAGATGAGGAGTCCTGGATGTGCTGGCAACTGAAGCTCTCCAAGAAGCCCATCATGGAGGGAAAGCAACATGAGCTGGCTTGTGTCCTTGCCACCTCTGCTGCTGTTTTATTTATAGGGGTTATTCATAACATATCAAACCTGAGACTTTACCCAGATTTCAGCCCAATCCTGTTGACTTGTCTTGACTCTGGAACCACCCGAGGGTCTCCTGGAGCCAGTGGACATTGAGTGATGGTGCTTGGTGGGTGCTGGACCAAGACTCCGCAAGGCTTGAGGCTGGGAGACCCGCAAGGCTCTTCTGGAGCAAGTGCAGCCTCAGTTTCTGCCTCTTGACTCCTCTGCACCAAAAAGGTGGAAAAAGACCTCAGAGGGTTGGAGAAACATCAGAATTGCTCCATGCTCCGGCTTTCCCAGTGGTGGTCCAAGGGACTGCTTGGTTGAGTGACATTTCATTCCGAAGTCATGGGCAGGCCGGGAATGTTTCACTATGCCTTTGATCCCTGCTGGTATCTGCTCGCAAGGGAAGAAGCACCTTGTCCAATCCGGAGATATTTGTTCCCCGAAGTGGCTCCCCATCGCTTCCCCCCACCCTGTAAATGGGATCCCACACGGTTTCTCTGGCAGAGTCCTGCCTGTGTTTTCCCATTCCCCCCTCCTTCCACCTCCATCTCATACAGAGTTTATAACCTCCTGTGAAATGTCTTTATTTACAAATTGGCATCCTATTATAATCTGAAATTGAGACATCTTCCTGTGGAACTAGGATTGTATATTTGTCCCAGGGATAAACAATTGCTTGGGAATTTTTTTTTTAAAGTCACTTATTCTTGGCTTATTTTTGAGCATACGTCCTTTTAATACTTTTTTACTTGCTTTGAGAATCACGGGGCATTGTACCCTTCCCCTTCTAGCCTCGTAGGAGACATGATCCCCCTCCCTGCTTACCTAAAACCCACCATCCTGTCCTGGAAAGGACAAGGTTATCAGGGGTTAACGCCAAGATGACAGCACTGGAGCCTCTGGAGCAAAGCAGGCTGCCTGCCAGACTAGGAGCCTCCCAGCTCGCCTCGCACATCATCTGACCGTGGCCGGCGGGGAGGAGGGAGCCGGCGCTTGGCACTGACCCCGAGTCTCTTGGCTTGGCCACCCGCTCCAGCTCCTTCAGCCCCATGGTTGTTTTTTTTTTTTTTAGTTTAAGGGGGATCTTGCCCTTTGGGGACCCCCCCGGGGGCACAGCCAGTATAGCCCCCTTGCTGCCACAGGGATGCTGGGGGCATCCTTCTCCTGGCTTCTGGCTCTTGGCTAATTATCCCACACACCCCCCACCCCCCCAGGTGAATAGAACCCATTTAATAGTTAAGTCCTGTAGAGCCTTTTGATCCTTTCCTAGATACGCTTCTAGGAGGGGTTTTAAAAACAACCTGATGGCAGGGGTGCTCCCCCCATTAAATGCCAGGTGT